AGCTGAGACTCTTTGCTTTTTGTTTAGGCATATATTGGAAGCTTCAATTCTGCTCTAAATTTACGAAATATTCCTACCTACATTTATATCAGCATCTCCAATTCTCTAGAAAAATGCTAGCAAAACTTACTTTTTATCTGTCGCATCCCTACGTTAACGGTCTGAATCAAAGAAGTCATCGAGAACAACAGGATATAATTCCTTTACATTGTCTGCTGTTGCCTTGACGAGCTGAATACAATGCTGTTTTCGGATTTTGAATATACTCATTCGGAACGAAGTTATGGCCCTGCGTAATTTGCGTGATTTACATGAATTTCGCGAGATTTCGGGAATGTCGCGAAATTCCGGGATTGTCGCAAAATTCCCGAAATTTCGCGAACCTTCGCGGAATTCTCGGAATTCTGCGACATTTACGGAAATTTTGCACATTCTGTGAGCGGTATTGTACATCAGCATCTCCAATTCTTTAGAAAAATGCTAGCAAAACTTGCTTTCTATTTGTCGCATACCTACGTTAGCCGTTTAAAACAAAGAAGTCATCGAGAACAACAGGATATAATTCCTTTACATTGTCTGCTGAATAAGTTACTCGTCTATTTGTTTATTCAATGGTGTATAGCTTACCCTTTCATTCAACTGGCTTTGCGGTTGGAAGGCGGAGCTTTGTGACCTGATGATCAGAGAGCACTGCGCAAGAGAGACGCAGGCTGAGTAACGGTTGCGAGCGGCCTTGACTAGGTCACAAAACCCCGCCTTTCAGCCGCCAAGCCAGTTGAATCAAAGGTCATGTAGTTGCCAATCTGATACTTGTCTCAGTCTTTGGTGAGGAAACATACTTCATTGTAAGCAAAGGATCTAGCAGCGATTTATGTAGTGCTAAACATAAAGCAATTTTACGCACTTTACGCGCCTCACACAAGTAAAAATTCGTAAAATTACTATGTCGCACTGCGAGAAGTTAAAAAGTAGTGCGAACAAATTTGACAGGAGCATTGAGAGGCTAGTTTTTGGTAATATGATCAGCACAATTTAGTAACATACATTCCAACAAATGTGCCATGCTCCTCTGTGCATTGTGGCAAAAGTACCTTTTTATTCAACTGGCTTGGCGGCTTAAAGGCGGGCTTCGTGACCTAATTAGAGCCAGGTAATGAACAGAAAGCATGCGCGCGCGAGAGACGCAGACAGCGTCGAGGGCGCTAGCGGCCTCAATTAAGTCACAAAGCCCAGCCTTCCACCCGCCAAGCCAATTGAATCAAAGGTTATAGATGACTCAAATGTTTAGTAATGCAAAGAGTATGTGCTTTGGTAATGGCAGTTCATTCTTGTCTCGCTATTTCTGCTAATTATTGTGTAGTGATTGAAAATTTGTAGAACTGATGACAAAGATGATCACGACAGATGTGATTTGGATAGGAATTTGCTTGGGAAATTGAATGAGAAACCACCGCATTGAAGAAGTTTATTGTAGCCATTCAACTACACTAAGATTTTCATTTTCCATTTCGCGGAATTACGATCTCAGCTCCCATATTTGGATTGACATTCGTTGGTCCAAGCTGCTTGTCTGGATGTGTCTCATACTTCTAAAAATGTGAGAATTACGTAATGGCTGGGCCTAATGAGTTTAAGATTTCTTTTCGTCGATTCACTTTTATAAGTCTCTCCTTTCTGGGTCCCCATTTCCTCAAATCATAACCAATATCTCCTTCATTACGAGCTCTTTTTTACTAACTTCGGTCTTTCCACCCAAAGTTCCATGCAAATTTTTTTACAATAAAGTCATTGCGCAGAAATGTTTGCTTTCGTACGAGACCATTTAAGCAAAAAAAATCACTTACTGTGTGAATCTCTAGAGGCTTTAGGGCTGTTGGAGAAAATTCAAAATAAAATGTTTAAAAAATTGAATTCTAATTCTCTGAACTATGAGACCAACAAACGAATCGCAAAACTCACATTCCAATCACCATCTTCTTCCACAGCCTTGGTGGTCCTCTTCTTCTTACCCTTTTTAAAACCGACTCCTGCTATGGTGCTCTTCCTGTTACCCTTTTTAGGATTAACTCCGGCTACGGCGTTATTCCTGTTACCCTTTTTAGAAATGACTCCGGCTATTAGAGCTGCAGCGAGACATATCAAGAGAAACAATCGCATGTTGAGTGTTAGGTTCTGAATTAAGATAGTTTTGGCGCCCTTTGATTCAACCGGATTGACGGCTGGAAGGCGGGGCTTCGTGATCTAGTTAAGAAGTTTAGATTATAATCAGAAAGCACGCGCGTGAGAGAGACATAGACTGCTTAGCGGGCGCGAGCGGCCTGAATTAGATCTCAAAGCCACGTTTTCCAGCCGCCAAACCAGTTAAATAAACATAAACATAGGTAATTCTTTAATTTCCTGAACATTGTAGGTAAGAAATAACTATAGGGACACAACAAAGCAATGGGAGTTTATGACCCTTTGGTAAACTTTACATTGCGGCATCTTAGAGTTAAAATATTGCTCTACAAAAACCATTTTTACCCTCACAATGACCAGCAACGTCATTATTTAACGAACCGCAAAGAATACGTCGTCTCGGCTTTCTGGGGATAATGAGGATGCTGTGCTTTTGAACGGAGCAATATCGCTGATATGATAGGGTTTTGCCAGACTGTGAAGGTTGGTGATTTGCGGCCATTGCACACGCAGAATGCCACAAGACGTCGAACCAGCTGAACAGCACTGTACTTTTCAGAATCCCTTCAGGTCATCAAAGGCGTCCAGGCAGATTTGGACACATAGGTTTTTCGTGAAAACAAGGGACTCCTAACTAAAGAACTGCCAAAGCAGCAGCCCAAATCATCCATTCCTGTCTGAGGAATCCATCCCCACCCTCAACCTGCGTCATGACCGTAACCCGCTACTGAGTCTCCTCCGCAGCATTGCGTTCGCGCTGGGACCCGTCCCTAATCACACGCGGTTACGGTCACGACGCAAGAGTTAGAAGCTCAGACGAAAATGAAATATTTGCTCTGCAATTCGGGCATTGCCTTAGTCAGGACCCCCTCACCAAATCCCACTCAAGAAAAGCATGCGCCCGAATTTGCCTGGGCACACTCCTTTTCAAAGCTGAGCTCTGATAGCAAAGGAGTATTTAACAAGATAAAGTAAACTAAGAAAGTTGAATGCGCGAGGGCCGCAAACTCATCGACCGTCACGATCACGCAGAGCCCTATAACATGATTGAGAACAACAACAAGCAGAAATGTGAAAGTGCAAGGCCTGGAAGCTATTTATTCTCAGCGCTTTGATATAGAAGAAATTGCATTGAGTATTCATGGCTTTTAACGCTGGGAAAAGACCGTTGGTCCCGTTGGTTCTGCAACGGGTAGTTGCGATTCGACGTTTATTCAATTGGTGGAAACAGAATCGTTCTTTAAGACATTTACGACAAGGCTGATTTTCCAACTACGACCGTTTCCCAGAGCCCTTTTAGCTTTGTCAAACTAACGACCCACCCATGGGTCGTATTGACCGAAATGGTCGTCTTTTTGAGAAAAAAATTTGAAATGTGCTCCGAGAATTTCCTCAGAGGGGTTATAGAAGGTGCTGCTTGTCAAAATATGGTTTGATACAATGCTCATTCTGCACCACCCCAACATAGTAAAATTTTATGAAAAATTGTGTTTTGGGTTTATTTCATGTGCTGATCACGATTACAGTGTCCGCTTACCATCTCATAGTGGGGCTACGACAGCAGTACAACAGTAAGATAGAATTTTTGTAAAAAAAAAAGAAACTGATGGAAGAAGCGGTACTAAAATGGGGACTATCATTCTCGTAATCAGCATGCTACAAAACCTATATATGTAAGATTTGACCTTCCTGAGGTGAACAATGCAAAAAATCAATAAAATCTAATGTTTTGTCGTGGTCACATCAGTCCCTTGTACTCCCCGCTCGTGCATGTACACTTGATCAGAAACAGCTCATTCTGCGAATAGTTTAAGCTGAAGTCTATGGTTTGTTTTGTCTGCGATATACCCACCATCCACGGATCTCCCTCATAGAGGGATTACAGCCGGTTAGTCGCGAGGCTATGTGGGGCGTCCCCAGGTGGCGGATAGGGGGATAATCGCCGACCAAAAGCGACCCCGCGCCTGCTCTGATAAGCAAGCGGAGCCGGGGGACGGACTCCCTGCCTCCACTAAAAGCTTGCGCCCTAATTTCCCGGGTAGGTGTGTGGGGAGGCGAGTTCGGAGTCGCCTCCAACAAATAAGCTCCGATCGTCCCTCGCAGGGGTTTTGAGCCCAACAAGCTATCCCTGCGAGTAAATTCTTGTTCGACACAGTGATAATATGGAAAGCTCCTTTAATCTTGGAAGAGCCACTGGTAAGGCAGCGCCAGTGGGGACAAGGTTTGAAAGGCGATCTAGGCTGCCGAAAACGAGACGGGCTATGATGACGATCTGTACTTACAACGCGAGGACGCTGGCATCGGACGCATCTATCGAAGATCTCATGATGCAAGCAGGGAAGATTAAGTGCGACGTCATCGGACTGACCGAGACAAGGAGGCACCACCCGCTGAACGCCACATTTGAGACTGGAGAAGAACTGTTTCTAGGAACATGCGACAGTCGAGGAGTAGGTGGAGTGGGAGTCCTTGTCAACACGAGTTTGGCCATGAACATCGATTCGTTCGAACAACTTACAACTCGAATCGGACGTTTGCGAATATCAAGATGTGGATCAATCCCTGCCTTAACCGTCTTCATTGCGTACGCCCCAACATCCAGCTACGACGAGGACGAACTCGAGGAATTTTATATGGACTTGGAGAAGTTCTACAGAGAAGATCATACCTTCTACAAGATCATCGTCGGTGATTTCAACGCGAAGATCGGAACTAGAAGGTCGACTAAGGAACTTCACATCGGAACCCATGGTTTGCAGTGGAACGAACAAGGGGAGAGACTGTCCGAGGTTATCATGACGACGAGGACTATCCATGGAAACTCACAGTTCCAAAAGCCCTCTTCCCTACGCTGGACCTGGGAATCGCCCGGTGGAGAGTACCATAACGAGATTGACCACATCATCGTCAACAGAAGGTACTGCCTGACGGACGTCGCTGTTGTTCCAAAGTTCTACACGGGATCAGACCATCGTCTCCTGCGCGCCAAATTCTACTTTCCGCGGAATGGAGAGAGAGCCGTCAAATTCAGGAAACATCGTTCCATGAATACCACCAACTGGGATCTGTTTTCTTCGATATCCGGCTCATGGCGAGATACCGTGATGGACAACATCGACGAAGAATACGAACGGTTCGTACAACATCTCCACGGTTGTGCCAAGGAAGCTCAGAGTCTAAGAAGTACGAGAAGGCGTCTCACCACGGGGACTTTGGAGCTGATACGCCAACGTGGACGCGCACGAGCCACAGGCAACTACCGACTGACGTCCGAGCTTGCGAAGCGATGCAGAGAAGCGATAAAAGAAGACCTTAAGGAGAGAAGAGTAGCAGTGATGGTTGACGCCGCGGAGGCTGGAAGAAGTATACGCAACGCCCGCCGAAGTTTCGTCAACTTCAAGACAAAGATGACCGCACTTCGTCGTCCTGACGGAACCATAACTGCTTCCCGAAGATCAATGGAGAAGGTCATCCACGACTTCTACTCGGATCTTTTTGCGAGCCACGTCCACCTTCCACCATGCCATCTCAAGGAGGACGAGTATGTCGCACCGTCTGTTCTTCCTTCCGAGATTCGTCATGCTATCATGTCGATGAAAAACCGTACAGCACCCGGTCCCGACAGGATTAAGCCAGAACATCTGAAGAATCTTTCGCCAGTTCTCATCAAGACTTTGGCAAGGCTCTTCACGCGGTACCTGACGGAAGGCAAGGTTCCAAGGCAATGGAAGACCAGCAAAACCTTGTTGCTGTACAAGAAGGGAGATCCCTGCGACATCGGCAATTATCGCCCTAACTGCTTGTTGTCTGTAGTCTACAAACTCTTTACGCGAGTCATTCTCAACAGGATCGGAAGAGAGTTGGACGAAGGACAACCATGCGAGCAAGCTGGGTTTCGAAGAGGATTCAGCACATCGACCACATACACACGGTGTCAAGGCTCATTGAAGTGTCACGAGAGTATAAGATGCCGCTCTGTCTCACCTTCATCGACTTGAAGAAGGCCTTTGACTCGGTTGAGACTGAAGCCGTCATCGATGCCTTGAGCAATCAAGGTATTCCGACTCATTACATCAAGATAATTCGTGAGCTGTATAATGACTTCACAACCACCATAACACAATTCTACAAGGACATCATCATTGACGTGAAGAGAGGCGTGCGACAAGGCGATACTATATCGCCGAAACTATTCAGTGCCGCTCTGGAGAACGTCATGCGTAAGCTGGAATGGGACAACATGGGAGTGAAAGTCGACGGCCGGCAGCTACACCACCTTCGCTTTGCTGATGACATCGTATTGATAACACCAAGCATCACGCAGGCGGAACAAATGCTGGCCCAGTTTGACGAAGTGTGTGGAAAGATCGGTCTACGGCTGAATCTAACGAAGACGATGTTCATGAGGAACGGAAGAGTGCCTGATGCTCCTTTCATGCTCAACGGGACGAACATCACCGAATGCTCAAGCTACACCTACCTAGGTCGTGAACTCAATATGATGAACGATCTAGCTCCGGAACTGAGCAGGAGGAAACGTGCAGCATGGGGAGCATATAAGACAATTGAGGACGTAGTGAAGAAGACCAAGAACATCCGGCTCCGCGCCCACCTTTTCAACTCGACGGTTCTTCCTGCTTTGACGTACGCTTCAGAAACATGGACAATGAGAAAGCAGGATGAACACGCGGTTAGCGTCATCGAACGAGCTGTTGAGAGAGTGATGCTAGGAGTGAATCGACTCACGCAAGTGAGGCAAGGATTACGAAGTTCTACCCTACGTCAACGATCGAAGATCAGGGACGCTGCCGCGTACGCCAAGCAGAACAAGATAAGATGGGCCGGGCACGTAATGCGTTTCGACGACAACCGGTGGACGAGAGCTGTAACAGATTGGATACCACTGGACGTCAAACGCGAACGAGGAAGACCGCCGATGCGATGGTCAGATATGTTCACGAAGTCCTTTAATGAAGTCCTTCAGAGCGTTCCACGTGTTCCTGGTGCGATACGTAAACATTGGTCAACAATCGCCCGAGACAGGGACGAATGGAGGCATCACTGGTACCCACTCGTGCAACACGATGATCATCGGGGATACAGGTGATACAGGTGATACCCACCATAGCATTACATTACGGTATCCCGAGCTCGGACCACTCTGGCTGGAGCTTCGCCTACGTGTCCCCAATCATGTGCCAAAATTCCGTAAAATTCCATCGTAAGCGGCAAACCTAGAGCTTCAGGAATCTTACGACCTGCCGATGGGTCGCATTGTCCGAAATTGGCAGAACGCGTGTGACCCATGGATCGTATTCGCAGATGTGTTGAAGCAGCGGTTTCTTTCATACGCCTGCCCTTATGAGTGGCACCATGAGAAACAGACTAAAAGCAATAATGCTCATTAATAGCCCATTTTCAGGTGCATAAGCCGCACCCTGTTCGCTCTAAAGGCGCAAACGCCAAAAGACTGCCTGTTACGATGGGGCGCGTTGAGTGAGAGCAACTTGCGAGAAAGCGACCGCTTCGGCACTTGCGCAGCGGCACGCTTGGGTCTGCTCGCGTTTAGAGCAAAGAGGGTGCAGCTTATACACCTGAAAATAGGGTGCTCTGAAGTTTATAGTCGAGCGCTTTAGCTTTTATATGACTTTCGATTTGCAGGAGTGTAGACAACTGGGCTGTTCATACACTAATCTCCTAACAGACACCGCCAATAAGCTTATTTCTCTTTTCTACCGGCGAACCATAATCCCCGATGCACTAAAAATAAAAGCATAGCACTAAAATTTTTGCATGTTTTAAAAATCCATGAAGTTTGCTATCTTATACAAAAGTAGAAAGTGCATAAAAGCTTTCGCAATTGTCGGTCAAGTTCGATTAGTCCGTCACTTGAAAACTCGAATTCTGAGATGTGCAAATCGTAGGTGGAGAAAATTTCGAAACCGCAATTTGATAATTCTTTTGTTCGAGCGTTATCTTTATCGTTATTTTATCGAAAAGCTTGATGGCGAATTTATTATTCGCTTTAATCTGGGCCCATGCAAACGAACTTTTTTAAATAGTTTGAGCCGTTCCACGTTCCCACCGCTTAGAACCAACAATAAAAAATCGAAATGCCCGAAAAAGCCCCACGTTAAAGATCTTTCCGCGTTTACTATTTTTATATAATAGATTTGGTACAAAAAATCCATTTACCTTCAGTTGAAGCTTGCCATCTCTTCCTCTTTAGGTTTGCCTCAGAATGAGCATTGTATGTTTCAGTGAAAACCTACGGGAAATTTTTTTTCCAGCATTCCGAGATTCGAAACATGCGAAAGCATTGGTTTGAGATGCAATGGAATGTTGTGGATTCCTTTGCAGTTTTTCAATAAGTTCAGATATTTGCTTCTTTCCACTTTGAGCGTTCAACAGAGACGGATAGCAGAAACTAATCCAAATGTGGATAAAACTACCTGATTTTTGATCCTCTTGCTAAAAGACCGTCTGCATCACATTCCTGACAAGTGTCACCACATTGTTGACGGGGCAGCACTTCTAGTCGTGGACGATCACCGAACGACCCAAACCAGCTATCCTCTTTGAAGGACATGGTGGAATCTTCTGGTATATGAATTATTCAACGACGGGTATTAGGTTTAAAAAAAGGAACTTCATTTTTACAACAAAGCAATGAGACGAAAACAAAAAAATATGTGAAGGGTACCATTCGATAGGGCAAAGAGCGCTACAAGATGACCTTCAGAACTTGATAGAAATCGTGTTTTACACAAAGTTTAGAGCCAAAAGATGAAGCACTTCATGTTGTCAAAAGTCAGACCTTTGCTCCAGAAAATCCTATGAATTTCTCATTTAGTCCTGCATATATATAATAAATAATGCACTTATTCAAAGGTAAGCTTGCTATATTTTTCCCTGCCTATATAACAAGAAAAAAATTAAAAAACAGAAAATGGCAACTCCGCCTCCAATAGTCCTGGGCTCCTCACATATATGCCCGACTATTTCGCGTTTATGAGAAGGATTCAGGAGGAGCTGAATCCGCTAATACAGTGCTGGCCAAAATCATAGGTCCACTCTAGAAAATGTCCTATACACACTCTGTCATCATCGAATGTCCCAAGAACTGGTACAACTGTGTGTTTGCGAGCCTATTATCAGCCATTAAAACGAGTCTCTTTTTCAATCGGTTATATAAGAAAAACCAAAAAAATTTCAAAAAAAAAAGAAAATAGACTTCAGGGTCGGATGAAATTAAAGGTCCATCTGTATTTTTGTTGAAGCACTTCTTAGCTTCCATTTTTTAGGCAGCTACACACTCAAAAGGTCCAGCAATTGCTTTGTCAAGCTGTGATACTACCGAAATGACCGATTATCTGCTTTTTGAGTCGAAAATGCTCTCACATGCATTTCGCTGCAGTAACTTGCGTTGGAGTAGGGAATTCTACGACGAGATCGTCCTTCTACATGCTTGGAGACGCGGGGATTGGGGAAATACCTGACTTCTTAATGTTGAGTTAATGTTGCAACAAATCCGACATCGAACCTTACTGCAAGCTTGAGCTCAAACTTTTGCCTTTGAACTTTTTTGCAATCCCCTCAAGACCTTTAAGGAGTGTCCAGGCAAATTTGGGCATTTGGGTATTTGTCTGAAAACTATGACGACGTTATGGCTAAGACATTGTCCAAACCGCAGAGCAGATGATTCATTAACGGCTGAGAAATCCATCTCCCAACACTTCGCGGCTGCGCCATGACCGTAACCTAGGATGGGTCCCAGCGCGAACGTAGTGTTAATGTGGCGAAGTGTTTTCAGGTTATGGTCACGACGCCGGTGCGCGGTTTTCGGGGACGTACTTCTCACCTTAAACGAACAATTTGCCTGCCTGTTGGGCAGTGCCTTAGTTGGGGCCCCCTCATCAATTTCCAGGCGAAAAATCCATGCGCCCAGATTTGCTTGGACACTGCCTTCAAGTAAAGTAAAGGCATCATTTGCACGAAGGAGTCCTCCATGGTTACAATTTTCTAGAGGCCCTGGCATGTAAGTATAAATGCGGAAATCACTCTGCAGAAATTTACTGCTACTTTGCAGCAAGGTCAATCCTGGCTCTGGCTAAACCATCGGAAAAATCATGTGCTAACATACAATACATTTTCATTACTCATTAGATGATTACTGCCAAAAATCAAGTGATTATTGGGTTGGCACTGAATTTTACTTATTTCGTAACTCTTTCTTTTGACTGCGACGCACCCATTTTCGGACATGTTGTAGACTAGGTAGTAGGCTACAAATTTAGGCAGACAGTTTGATTTTTGATATCGAAGTGGAGAACGCATTTCTCGAAAGCTGATCAAATTCGAAATTTCAAGGGTAGAAAAACCAAAAATGAAGCTGTTATTAGTCTGAATCAGACACATCAAGCCGAAACTGTACCCAGATTGTTGATAAGGGAATATTCAATGATTAACACCTTTTCGGCTTGATGTGTGTGATTCAGACTGAGAACGGCTTTATTTTTAGTTTTCCGACACTGAAACTTTGCAATTGACCAGCTTCCAAAAAACGCGTAAATCTTCTCCGCCTCGCTACCAAAAATCAAACTGTTTGCGCCATTTGTAGTCTACTTTATCTACATTATGCTCTAAGATGAGTGTGTCACAGTCAAAGAGAAAATTTCGGCTTTTGAACATTTGTGTGTATGACATGCGAATTTTCTTATTGTATAGAGGATGCTTTTACTTCGGTTTGTGCTTGCAGTGATAGCGCAGAAAGGGATTTAAAGCAGTAACTCAAGCTTAGGCTTGTGATCCGATGTCGGATATGCTTTAACAGGCAAAAAGTCAAATTTTTCCATGCTCAAATCAAAAAGTATCTAGAAGGAAAATAAAACTCCGTCGCTTTCGAAACAGCTAAAAATTATAGAATTCCTTACTAAGATGCAGGTTTCTGGAGCGAAATATATGTGAAGGCATTTTGAAGTTCAAAAAGCAGATAATCGGTTCTTTCTAGGGCACGAGCAGCTAAACTAAAGCAACCGTTCAACGCCTTGAATTTGTATCTACCTAAAAAAAATTTCGGAAGCTAAGATGTGCTCTAATAAATAAAAATTTCAGGTGGACCTAAATTCGGGGCAGCTTCTGAATCCACATTTTTTGAAATTTTTGATTTTTTCTTGAACAAGCGACGAAAACGAGGCCTGTTTTTACATTTGATAATAGGCTTGTAAACATACAATTGAACCAAATTTTGGGACAATTCGTTGACAAAAGAGTGAGTTACATTTTTTAGCTTGGACCTATGGATTTTGGTCACCACTGGAGCGCAATTGATAAGCGGTCATATTGACAAAGAATTTCAATGCTAATCATCTTTAAGGTAAAAAAAAATTTATGAATTGTCTAAAACTAACTTGACCTGAACTGACGAAAAAATTTATTAGGTTGGTAAGGAGATATCAAGCATTACATTTCGATGGAGTTTTTGATTTGCTGGTACTCAGACCTGTGTGCACGTACTTCTTCCGGAGGGGGGGGGGGAGATTATAGCAGCCGGAATCTCTCAGAGATTTCAAGGTCATAAAGCGCGTGGAAAATCTAAGAAGCCCCGAAAAATTTTGCCCCTGGTGCGCCTTGATAAACGCGATATGAATTTCGATTGAGTAAAGGGTGTGAGAGTGTGTTAAGTGTGTTATATAAAACACGAAAGCATAGCTTTGTTGAGACAAATGACGTGCACTAAGGGGTGCACTGGTAGAATGCTAACGATGCCAACAAATGGCAATAGGCGTGCAGCGGAAAGGGTGTAAATATCCTGTAGCCTATGACTCTTCTGTAGACGATTGTCTCCGAAGCACATCTTTTACTGAGATCACTGCATGTGCTTCCCTTATGATTTCGGTCACAATCAGCCGAGAGGTTTCTGTAACATTTCTCGCCTGAATTTCCTGCCCCCCCCCCCATTTCTTCAATCGCCGTCGTCTTCAACAAGCTTCTACCTCAACAATCCTACAGCTGCCATCGCCGACTACAACTACTACCAGCCTTTTCTCGTCATCACTCCAATGGTGCACCCTCAACGACTAGCCATACAATTCATTTAAGGTCACAACTACAACATAATCGATTCTCCTCTATGCAGATGCTGTCAGTCGCGCAAGTCATGTGTGTAGTTATTGTCATTCTCTGCATGTATGTATTCGCTTGTCTGGCCGAAGTATCATTGACCAGTTGATAATTCCTGATACCCGTGCCATATGACGTCATAGCCGAGTGGGCGGACCATGTCTGCCATGCGTTCACCTGGGAGGCCTCGCTTCACTTTTGATCACACGTTGATCACTCAAGATTACAACTTCACACTCTCGGTTATAGTAATCCAATAAACCACTGAATCACAATCTTGTTGCTTATTTCACAGTATAACATTGCATTCCGAGGCAAACACCTCTCGAAGGGACTACACCCGCCAACAAAATATCCTGTGAACCTCTTGCCTACTCACTTATATGCTCCCCACGTCAGACATTTATATTAGTGACACGAAAGTTCTCACGTATTCCAGAGGTAATTACTTAATTTCCCAAATTCTATAAGTTAATTTATGACTTTGTATTGAAAGAGTAAAAGAAGTTATTAGGTAGTTACATCGGTCTTGTTACACTTTGACTTTTTACCGCAACAAGTCATACACCTATAAGTCATACGCATTACCCTCGGCCCTGTTTTCAATAGGGCCCAGGTATGATCTGGTAAAGCAAAGAATGAAGGTACTACATGAAAGTTTGTAAAAGTTCGCACCAACTCAATCCGCAGTCCAAAGCCGAATTCTGGAAAATTTTGAATGTTCAAAAAACTGAAAATAACCTATATCTTCCTCAAAACAAAATCACGCCTATGCATTCCATATCGAATACTCGAGATACTGCATTATCTTTTCTCGACTGAGAATGGAGAAGGCAAAAATTTATATGTTTTCACAAAACTGGAGCTATGCAATTCCCACCTAACTATAATAATTGTGTACTACAAGCCTGTCAGAAGTATGACCATATATTTTCAGCTGTATATGCCACAATTTCGAGAAGTATCGATTTTGGCATGGAACGTCAGAGGATAGGTAATTCGAGGGAGGGAGGAGGGAAGTCTTTCTCGAATAAAGGAGTGTGGCGTCAGTTTTTTTTCAAAAACTCTTTTGTTCATTTACAAAAAAGGCGAGTCATTTGCACTTCATAGCTCATATAGGCACCTTCAAAAATTTTGGAATACAAATTCGAGAGGTGGAACACCATTCTCTCGCTCCATCATTATCTGGGTAAAATATAAGTTGCAGCAATTAGGATTGAATTTTACAAATGGAATGATTAAATTGGGACTCTTTGCTTTCAATTTAGGCATACGTTGGAAGCTTCTACTTAGTTCCAAATTTACGAAATGAATTCTCAAATGTTAGCAAAACTCACTTTTATCTATCGCATTCGTTTATCTACGTTACCCGTCTGAAACGAGGAATTCATCGGAAAGAGTTCGATATATTTTCTTTGCGCAATTTTGCTGAATAAGTTACTCGTCTATATGTTCATTCTTGAGTGG